ACCCCTCTGGGGGTCCTGTCCTTGCCCACTTCTCCACTGTCTTACCGTGTCCGGCGGCCCCTTCTGGCACCCTGTCAGGTCTCTACCTCCCCTCGTTCTCTACAAACTTGGTGAGTGGTGCTGACCTACAGGATGGGGGGGTTGACCAGTTCACTCCTGCGAGTCAGCGAGTGACCCACTGCACGTGTGCTCAGACGGGCCGACACTTGGCCACGTTTACCCGTCGACCGGGGTCGAGCCTGTACACACTGACTACTGAGTCTCCTCCGGTCTCTGCGTCTGGTCAGGTAGCTGCGTCGGGTCAGGTGTCTGCTACGGCGTCCAGGTCTGGTCCTGCGTCTGCCCCCTGCTCGTGTCGTCTCCTGTCTCACCAGACTCTCCTCTGGCACCACCGCCTTGGTCACCCCTCGCTGCCTCGTCTCCGAGGCATGGCCTCCCGTGTCCTTGTCTCTGGTCTCCCCCGGTCCCTCCCTCCTCTTCCTCCGGGGCCTGCCCCTACCTGCGTTCCCTGTGTCGAGGGGAGGCAGCGTGCTGCTCCTCACTCCTCCGAGTTTCCTCCGACAGAGGCTCCGCTGCAGACGCTTCACATGGACGTGTGGGGCCCAGCCCGCGTCCGTGGACAGGGTCACGAGCGTTACTTACTGCTGGTGGTTGACGCCTACTCACGTTACACCACAGTCTTCCCCTTGCGCAGCAAGGGTGCGGTCACTGAGGTGTTGATCGGCTGGATCCGCGCTGCTCGTCTCCAGCTCAGAGAGAGTTTCGGCTCGGACTTTCCTGTTCTGCGTCTCCACTCCGACAGAGGCGGTGAGTTTTCCTCTGACCTTCTGCGAGCCTTCTGTCGTGCACAGGGCATCCGCCAGACGTTCACGCTTCCGGCCTCTCCACAGCAAAATGGGATTGCTGAGCGCTGCATTGGCATGGTCATGGACGTCGCTCGTACGTCCATGGTCCATGCGGCTGCCCCCCATTTTCTGTGGCCGTTTGCGGTTCGGTACGCGGCGCATCAGATCAACCTTCAGCCCCGGGTCTTCATGCCGGAGACCTCCCCTGCTTTGCGGTGGACCGGGAAGGTTGGCGATGCGTCAGCGTTCCGTGTCTGGGGATCTCGGGCGTTTGTCCGCGACTTGTCTGCGGACAAGCTGTCCCCCCGTGCTGTTCCCTGTCTCTTCCTTGGCTTCCCCCCTGACGCGCCAGGTTGGCAGTTCTACCACCCCACCTCGCGACGTGTTCTGTCCTCCCAGGACGTCACGTTTGACGAGTCGGTTCCGTACTACCGTCTCTTCCCCTACCGCACTGCCTCCCTCCCCCCGCCGCCGCTCTTCCTCGCGCCAGGTCCCCCCCCGGTAGACCCCCTTCCCCCTCAGGGTCCTGCCCCCTCAGGTGTGTCCCAGGTAGATGCAGTCGAGCCTGTCGAGGTAGCTGTTGACTCTGGTGCTGCTAGGGGTGCTGAGCCTGCGGGTGCGGGGTCTGGGGGTGCTGAGCCTGCGGGTGCGGGGTCTGGGGGTCCTGAGCTTGGGGGTGCTGACTCTGGGGGTGATGAGCCTGGGAGTGCTGAGACTTGGGGTGCTGATACTGGGGGTGTAGAGCCTGGGGGTGCGGAGCCTGAGGGTGCTGGGCCTGCTCGTGTGGCGTCTGGCGGTACAGGGCCTGGAGGTCCTTCGGGTGCTTCGTCCCGGAGGGAGCTGCTCTCTCCACAGGAGTTGCGCGAGTGGTTTGCTCGGCGCTGGAGCCGTGCTGCTGGAGCTGGAGGTACTGCTGGTGTTGACGGTTCTACTGCTGCTGAGGGTGCTGGTGCCACGGGTCCCGGAGGTGCTCGTACCGGGGGTACTGGAGCTGCTGGGCCTGCGGGTGCTCCTGCTGCTGGAGTAGGTGCTACTGGAGGTGCTGGAGCTGGAGCTGCTCCGTCTTCTGGTGGTCCGAGTGGAGCTGGAGGTGCTGCTGGCGCTAGTACTTCTGAGGGTGCTGGAGTTGGCGCTGCTGGAGCTGGGGGTGCTACTGGCGCTGGTGCTGCCGTTGGGGGTACTGGTGCTGTTCCTGCTGGTTCTGGGGGCACTGCACGGCCGCGGCCGTACTTCGTTCCGCTCCTTGAGCAGGTTCTTGGTCTTCCGTCCTCTCTTGGACCTGCTCCTCTCTTAGAGTGTCCGCCGCCTGTCCAGTCCGAGTCACAGTTACAGCCAGCCTCCCCACTGCCTGCTCCCTCTCCCTACACTGGTCCTACTGGAGGTCTTACGGAGCGTCGTGAGCCTGCGTCTCGTCCTGCGTCTCCTGTCCGTGCTGCTCGCACGAGTGGTCAGCGTCCTCCGCCTGTCCCCGGCACGCACCGGATGTCTCTGCGTCCTTCCACTGCTCCGCTGCGTGCCCCTTTGCCTTCTCCTCCCGAGTCCTCTCTTCCTGCTCTTGCTGACCCGGAGTCGGACTCCCTTCGTGCTGCCAGTCCTACTATCACGCGTCTCCTTGCTACTGTCGTCACTGACCCTTCCTTTGAGTCCACTGCTGCGTCTGCCTTAGTTGCTGAGCTTGTCGACTTCGCTGCTCACTATCGTCTAGACTACGCCTCTAGTCTTGTTGCTGAGTCTGCGTCTGTCTGTCCTCCGTCCGTCGGGGGTGAGTGTGCTCTTAGCACGGACGTCCTTGAGGACAGGCAGGAGGAGTTCCAGTGTTTTGCTGCTGCTTTGCCTCATCTCGTGTCCATGCTGATTGCCCCTGAGGGAGACCCGGATGCACTAGACATCCCGACTCCTCGATCGTACGCTGAGGCGATCGAGGGTCCCTACTCCTCACAGTGGCAGTCAGCCATGGACGCAGAGATGGCTTCCTGGAAGTCCACAGGCACCTACGTCGACGAGGTTCCCCCACCTGGGGCAAACATCGTCAGTGACATGTGGATTTTCAGGGTGAAGCGGCCGCCGGGTTCTCCGCCTGTCTTCAAGGCGCGTTACGTGGCTCGAGGCTTCAGTCAGCGGCAGGGAGTTGACTACTTTCAGACCTTCTCCCCCACCCCAAAGATGACCACTCTTCGGGTGCTGCTGCACATAGCCGCTCAGCGCGACTACGAGCTTCACTCTCTTGACTTCGGCACAGCTTTCTTGCAGGGCAGCCTGCACGAGGAGATCTGGCTGCGCCGCCCACCTGGCTTCACTGGGTCGTTTCCTCCTGGTACCCAGTGGAGCCTCCGACGGCCAGTCTACGGTCTCCGCCAGGCGCCCCGTGAGTGGCACGACACACTGAGGACTACACTTGCGGCTCTTGGGTTTGCTCCTTCTACTGCCGACCCGTCGCTGTTTCTGCGCACCGACACCTCTTTGCCGCCGTTCTACATCCTCGTGTACGTCGACGACTTGGTCTTTGCCACTGCTGACACTACTGGACTCGCCCACGTGAAGTACGAGCTGCAGAAGAGACACACGTGCACAGACCTGGGTGAACTGCACAGCTACCTTGGCTTGCAGATCACCCGGGACAGAGCACAGCGCACCATTACCCTGACTCAGTCACACATGGTGCAGCAGGTCCTTCAGCGCTTCGACTTCACGTACTCCTCGCCTCAGGCCACTCCTCTGTCTACTCGCCACTCGCTCTCAGCTCTGCCTTCGGATGAGTCCGTAGAGCCGAGTGGCCCGTACCCAGAGCTTGTTGGCTGCCTCATGTACCTGATGACCTGCACTCGACCTGACCTTGCATACCCTCTTAGCATCTTGGCACGCTATGTTGCTCCTGGGAGACACCGACCAGAGCACATGGTTGCAGCGAAGAGGGTGTTGCGCTACTTGTGCAGTACGTCGGGCATGGGGCTAGTGCTTGGAGGGCGGCGTTCAGTGGTCCTCACAGGTCACGCAGACGCTTCTTGGGCTGACGACCAGGCTACGCAGCGGTCGTCACAGGGTTACACCTTCAGCCTTGGTTCCGGCTCTGTTTCGTGGCGGTCTACCAGCTCGTCTTCTGTTCTCGGCTCCAGCTGTGAGGCTGAGATCTACGCAGGGGCCATGGCTGCACAGGAGCTACGCTGGCTCACCTACCTGCTGACTGACCTAGGAGAGCCGCCTCGTTCTCCTCCGGTTCTGTACGTAGACAACAAGGCCATGCTGGCCTTGTGTCGGGAGCACAGACTGGAGCACAGAACGAAGCACATTGCTCTTCGCTACTTTCTTGCTCGTGAGCTGCAGCAGCGTGGTCAGCTGTGCCTTGCTTACGTGGCCTCTCAGGCCAACACTGCTGATATCTTTACCAAGGCACTTCCGCCTTGTGATCATCAGCGCTGTTGTACGATGCTAGGTCTTGTGCCTACTTGGCCTCACTTGCTTACTTCTTGACCTTGCTTGTACTGTGATCTTTCTATACCTGCACTTGCTTGTTTACCTTTATATATGATCTTGCATGTGAACTGGCCTTGTGGCCTTGAACTTGTGCTCGGAATGTGTGGTGACGTTGTGATCCACCCTGAGCTTGCTTTGCTTTGCTTGACTGGTCTTGTGACCCCTTGTTCTCCCCCACTTTGCCTATGGGGGTGTGTCAGACTTGTATGACTTAGCCTGTGTAGGCTATAGTGGGGTAGCACATATGGGGTACAACACATTTCTAGGTTTGGACTTGTACCCAACCTACCCTTAGTCAATCATTTCCTCATTTCTTAACAAACTGTTTTACTGTTGCTGTTGCGGTTCGATACAGTGACGACTCGGGCAACTGCTCAATAACGAGTCAGTTGTTTGTCCTTGTTGTCGCGCTGTACTAGTCAGGTCAAAGGTCGCAGCAGCAGGTTTGACTTTCGCGTAACCTCCAGCAGTTGTTCAACCTCCGAGGGTTGACTCGCCGATGCTTCACTGTACTTCGCTTCGTTTACCACTTAGTGCTTCGACACGATAGAGGCGCTTAAATTACTTGTTTCCAACAGGTTGTACCGCACATTCTTATAAACTACAATTAGCATCCTATACGTTTGACACACCTGAGATACAGTAGGCACCACCAGACATGGGGCATAAGGTAAATGCTTCCTATCAGAGAAAATCTTTTGTAACAACCATTCCAGGAAAGTTGTCCCTGATCAAGCCCGCCACATCTTCAGCTTCCGTTCCAATCACCTGGAGGCTTTTAAGCCCGTTGAGCCACCTGACACCAGCAGCAGTAATATTAGCATGCAACAGTCCCAGTGTCTCCAGGAGTTTCATGTTCCTCGGGTACTTCATGCCGGAATCACTCACCCCTCGAGGCAGAGTGAGGAGCTTCAGTGAGGTGAGCGCAGTCAAGTGCTTCAGTCCATCCTCTGTCACCCCACTCTCATCCAGTCTGAGGGATGTGAGTGCTGTCAGTTTGCACACATCCACCATGCTGGCGGAGGTGATAGACGGGCACACGTAAAGATCCAGATACATGAGCTGTGGCAGCCCTAGGAGCCTCTTGATTCCCTCATCGGTTATATTACTCTTACCAAGACAAAGTGTGGTAAGAGCCTTCAGGCTGCCAATGCCTTCAAGAGAGGCATCGCTTATGACTGTAGCCGACAAATCCAAGTAGGTGAGACCTGTGAGGGAGTAGAGCAGGGTCACCCTCTCTGCAGTGAAGCCAATGGATTCTCGAAGGATGAGCCACGTGAGAGAGTGCAAGGAGGTAAGTCGAGAGAGAGCAGCGTCAGAGAGGAGAGAGGCGCCACTGAGGTCCGTGCGAGTCTTCCCTGGAAGAACCTCGACCCAGGTTGCAATAAGTTCCTGCAGCCCACGCACGGGGGAACAAGGCCAGACAAGCAGCCAGCTGAGCATGACCTAACGAGAACAGGGAGTCGATACCCACATGTCATGAGTGTCGAGCGTATGCACCAGGCTGTAACGAGCTGGCTGTACCAAGGGCGGACCAACAGGCGCATACGGATTGAGAACACACTCACCTCCCAGATCTTGCTTCCCCCGTTGTTCGTGTCCTCCAGCGCTTCCACTCGCGCCCTCAGTGCCTGCACCTCATCCTCTGGTTGTTCGTTCTCTGCACCATTCTCCTCCTCCTCCGCTTCGCCCTCCTCCCTTTCCGCCTTATCCCGCTCGGCTTCAGGCACATCGCCAGCAGCGGCAAGCACGCGCCCAGCCCCCGCAGGAGCATCTGCCATCTCCTCCTTTCCCGCATCCTCCCTCTTCCGCCTCTTCCCCGCGCTGTCCTCCTCGCGATCCTCGCACATCTTCTCCGCGCGGCGGCCGTCCTTGATGGCGGCGAGCGCCAGCTCGACGTCGTTGATGCGCGCCTCCGAGTGCTCCGCCGTCGCCTTCACGTACGCCACCTCCGCCGCCTGCCGCTCCGCCGCAGCCCTCATCCGCGCAAGCTCCGCCTTCAGCGCGCCCACCTCCCCGCGCATCTCACTCGCTTCCTTTCTCGCCGCTTCTGCCTGCGCCTTCACCTCCTCCATTTCCAACGGTGTGAGAATTCTTCCCCGCGCGCCTTTCAGCTGCTGCGCGCCAATGCCCTCTGCTGCCTTTCCTGACGCACTCCCTTTTCCTGCCCCCTCCGCCATGCCCTTGAGGAGGGCCATGTCGCGCTGCATGGCAGCCATGGCGTCGCCCTGCTCTCTCAGCTTCGCCTCCAACGCCGCTACGCGCTCCCCCTCGCCGCCCGCCATCTCCTACCTCTTCACTGTCAGCACCATACCGTTTGCGCCGGAAAGCTGTCTCGTTTAACTCGCACTGCTGAACTGACGGACTTGTACGTGTTGCGACAACCAATCCGTAGGACAGATCTGTGAAACACCCAGCCGAGGTAGCGCGGTACTAGGATGGACACAAAAGGGCAGCAGAGATTTGGAGTGGAGGCGAGTCTGGAGAGCGACTCGAGAACACTACTCGCGTCGCTATCGCCAGGATGCTCTGCCATTTCGCTCCTAATGTGACGGGCTGGTAGGGACGAATTCTAGAAGCCTAGCAAGTCCAAGTTCGCATGTGCACATGGTCGAAGGTGAGTTCGCTCTGCCAGCTGGTGCTGAAACTTCGATTCGTTATTCGAACATCCGACAAAAAACGGTTGGTCGAACAGTCATTCCAACTTTTCAGGAATGGCCCATATAACGCAAAAGAACACAAAAGAACGCAAAAGAACGTCCTTTCGGGAAGCCAGGTTGCACATTTCTAGCTCAAGACGGTTCCGCACGTTAAAAAGCGGTCGCAGGGTTTACCGTTTTCACCGTGACGAAACGAAGTTGACCGCAGTGAGCCTACAGCAGTTGTGCAACCTGACTTCGCCCTCAGGACGCGGCACCTGTTTTCAAATTGGCACGATCGAAGGGTCGGGGCCTCACATCGATCCTGCCACGATCGATGGGCACACCAGTGTGCCCAACTGCCTTTTGCGATCGCCTGGACACACCGAGCCTCAGGTGACACGATCGCAAATTTCTGGGGCAAAAATGCCCCGGTCTCCACAATTTCACGTTCGATGTGAGGGCGCAGGCACATCGCGAGCCACAGGTGACACCTTTTTGCTGCCATATCTACTGTACATAAACGAAAATAGGCGACAAAGGATACCAGACCTTTAGCGACGTCGTCAAAATACTGTAGACCCGACACATCGATCCCCGCGAGGATCGATCGTGGAAATTTGAAAAAAGGTGCCGCGTCCTCATTATGGCAATCCTCACTATCAATGGGACTGTGCATTGTCGGTTCTCCCTAGAGTTGTGCTGGCCAATCACCGGAGAAGCCAGATGAGATGACCTATCAACCTATCAACGCCTGAAGTAGTGAAGTGACGACTCAGTCGCTCAGTCCTGACCCAGCCTGGTGAACCGACATTCGCCATCTATAGACGCAACGCCCTAAGTATTAACGTGCGAAGATTCTCCTCGATATGAGTCAAAGGCGATACAGAACAGAAGTTACGTCAGATCATCGACGGCACAGCAACCCATGAGACGCGTATCAAGCACCCGCGCGTTTCCGGGTTCCGCGCCACGTGCGGCGTCGCAGCAGGGGGCTAGGTTAGGCATTCAGTAAGGGGGGGAGCGCAAGAGACCCCCCAGTGGCGCGCAGCACCCCATGAGGGAGCGCAAGGGCCCCCCGCAGACCTCCTCCTCGCGCAACGGCGCCGGCGCGCACCGCTCCTCCCGCAACTCGTGGCTCCGCTTCTTCTTTCCGGGCCCTAGCAGCGGCGGCAGCGGCGGCGGCGGCGGCGGCGGCGGCGGCAGTAGGCGGATCGGGTCGTGGCTGCTGCTGCTGTGCCTTGTTCTCGGGTTCGTCTATTGGGTGCTCGTGCTGCAGCTCTTAGTGGGTTTCGCGGAGCAGAAGGAGCTTATATCGGAGACGCGCCACCGGGGGTTCGTGAAGTGGGAGCGGCACAGGCACGTGTTCCCGTGGAAGATCGGACTCACCGCGCACCCGCACGTCGTTCCGCGCGACCGCCTGGGCAAGCGCTGGGGGCGCAAGCGGCGCGCGCGGAAGCGCGCGGCCAAGTTAAAGGCACAGGCGCAGGCGCAGGTGCAGGCGAAGCCGGGGGGCGGCAAGGGGGGAAACAAAACGGCGCAGATTGGTGCGGGCGGGGGCGCGGAGAAGAAGGCGGGGGCGGGGGGGAGCAAGAAACCGCCAGCGGCGGGCGGAGGAGATGCGGGAGCTGGGAAGAGTGGCGCAAGTGGCGCGGGGAAGGACAAGGGGTCCGGGGAAACAGCAAGCGCGGTTGTGGGGAAAGGGGGGACTGGCAGTGGGGCTAAGAGCGGGGATTCCAAATTGGAAGGGGCACAGTCGGGGAAAGCAGGTTCAGGAGTTGGGGGAGATGCGGGAAGGGCGAAGGCTGTGGGGGGTGGTGGTGGTGGCAGCAGTGGAGTGACAAGCAGCAGTAGTAGCAACAGCAGCAGCATTGGAAACGGGGGCGAGAGTGGGAGGGTGGGTGCAGGGGAGAGGAGTGGCGGGAGCGAGAGGACAGGTGGGGGCGGCGGTGGTGAGGCGTCTAGTGGCAAGGGAGGGTGGTGGCGGCGGCGCAGGGCGAAGCGGGGAGCGCTGACCCCCGTGCACCTGGACTTGTATAAACGGCGCAAGGCCGCCAGAGCTGCAGTATCTGCTTGCTCGCTGCAAGCAAGCAACAGCAGCAGCAGCAGGAGCAGGGAGGGGGTGAAGGGAGGCGGGGAGGGCGAGGGGGTGTGTGTGGGCGAGGAGTGTCCGGTGTTTGGCAACTGTGCGGGCGAGTTGAGTGGCGTGGCGGCGTGTTGGATCAAAGGCCTGCACGACCCCTTGCTCGCCCGCCCCCGCACGCCCTCCACCTGCCCTCGCCTCCAGCCTGGCCCTGCCACCAACTCGTCTGCTGCTGCTGCTGCTTCTGGTGCTGGTGCCGCTGTAGCTGGTACTGCTGTTGGCGGTGCTGGCAGTGCTGGCAGTGGCAGCAGTGGCAGTCGGGCGGCAGGCAAGGCAGTGGCAGCGGCGGCGCGCAGTGCGTTGTGCGGGCATGAGGCGGACTTTGAACTGCTGCCGCAGTGGATGAGCCAGGTGGGGATGCGGGAAGGGGGGGATGGGGCGTGTAAAGGGGGGCGTCGGGTGGGAGGGTCAGAGAGAGACAGTGAGCAATGGGGATACGGAATTGGACATGAGTGGATTCTGAGGGGGAGTGGCGGATGACGGAAGCAGAGGGAGAATGGCGTTGTGGAGGGGAAGGCAAGGAAAAGAGTGTGAGAGGGGACGGAGGGGCGTGTTGGTGCGGGAGTGGGGGAGGGACGGACGGAGTAGCTGAGAGGCGATGATGGATCGTAGGGCGGGAGAGGACTCTGGGAGGGAGGAGGGGTTATGGCCAGCCGGTTCCATTGCCAGGAGAAAAAAAGCGGGAAATGGGAAAGGGAGAAAGGTGGTGAGGCATGGCGAGGATGGTTTGGTTTGCAGTAGCGGTAGCGGCATGGTGAGCAGGACGGCAGGCAGCAAGTCCAGCACATAGGGCTTGCAGCTCATTGCCCCCGGACCTCCCACACTGCTCGTTCTATCCCGCTAACCCCATGCCATGCCTCCCTCTCCCCTCTCCCCTCTCCCCTCTCCCTTCTCCCCTCTCCCCTCTCCCCTCTCCCCTCTCCCCTCTCCCCTCTCCCCTCTCCCCTCTCCCCTCTCTCCTCTCCCCTCTCCCCTCTCCCCTCTCCCCTCTCCCCTCTCCCCTCTCCCCTCCCCCCTCTCCCCTCTCCCCTCTCCCCTCTCCCCTCTCCCCTCTCCCCTCTCCCCTCTCCCCTCTCCCCTCTCCCCTCTCCCCTCTCCCCTCTCCCCTCTCCCCTCTCCCCTCTCCCCTCTCCCCTCTCCCCTCTCCCCTCTCCCCTCTCCCCTCTCCCCTCTCCCCTCTCCTCTCTTCCCCCTCCTTCTCCCCTCCTCCACCTCCTTGTCCCCCCCACCCGGTGTGCAGGTGTTTCGGCTGGAGAGTGTGCGAGTGGACGCGTGGGGGCGAGTGTTCAACGGCACCACTCTCTTCCACTCAAACGCCTGCCCTGCTCCCTCCGACCACCCCAGCCCTGCCAACCCAAGCAACAACCACCACCTCTCCAGTGACAGTCAAGTGCAACACCACCAAGAGCAGTACCAGCAGCAGCAGCAGCGCCAACAACAACAGCCGTACACGCGGGCGTCGGTCCCCCGCCCCAACCTGCACCTACCCCTGGCGGTGAACCTGGCGCTCCCCCACGCCCTGCACGCCAGCGACGCCCTGGTGCACTACCTGCCGCTGCTGCTCGCCCTGCACTCCTCCCTCGCCGCCATGCCCCTCATGTCCTTCCTCGTCGGCACCGCTGGGGAGGGGGATGGGGACGCGGGGGGTGGTGGTGGGTGGGGGGAGAGGGGCAGGGGGAGGGGGAAAAGGAAGGGGCTGTCGGGGTTTTTTGGGGGGAAGGGAGGGCGAGGGGGGGAGGGGGAAGGGGAGGGGGTGCATTCGTCGCAGGAGGGGGCGCTGCTGCTGCTGGGGGCGGAGGTGACTGGCGTGGACTTTGGGCTCATGGACGTGCGAGAGCTGAGAGGCCATGATGTGGTGCTCGTTGGTGCGTGCTTGTGTCACCGTGCCTGCCAATCTCCACCTCCATGCCATGTCGCATACGTAGATATTCGTGCTTGTCCTTGTGATCTTCTCTCGCTTGTTGTCTCGCATGTGGTATCGGTGTGCAAGGGGGTAAATAGTGTACCAACTGCTTCTACTTCAGCACCCCTTCCTCCCCCCCTCTCTCGCCTCTCCATCCCCTTTCCCCACAGACATTCTCCTACAGCCGGTGCACCAGCGCTGCCACAAGCCCAGCCGAGCTCTCTGGCAGACACTCCGCCACCACTACCTGCTGCCGCCGTACGCTCCCTCGCCCATCTCCGCTCCTCCTTCCGCCCTCCCGCCTCCTCCGCTGCTCCCTCCTCCCTCCTCACTCCTCACTCCTCTGTACCTGCACCTCACCTCTAGTTCCCTCACGTTTTTCCTCTCTCCCTCTCCTGCTTATTCACACACATACACACACTGTGTTTCTCTCTCGTTTACTTTTTTTTGTTTCCATTCGCTTGCCTCTCCCCCCACCGTCCTCTTTCCCTCCTCAACCTCTTGCTTCTCTCTGCTTGCGCACCCCAGTTCTGACCTGAATTTCCGGTTCGTTTACTAATCCATCCTCCTTACCTTTCCTATTCCATCTGTCTATACCCTCACCTGACTCTCCCACTGCTTCCTCCCCATCCCGCCTCCCACTGCAGCAATGGCTTCCCCATTTTCAATCCAGACTTCACTCTCCGAGCACCTTCAGAAGCAGACGCAGCAGCAGCAGCGGCAGCAGCGGCAGTGGAGGCAACAGACGACTGGGTGGTGGTGTGGGGCAAGCGGCCAGGAGCGGGCACAGCGGAGGAGCTAGCAGAGCTGCATCTCGCCCTCGTGGAAGCATTCGGAGCCCGCCGCCTGCGCACAGTGGGGGGCTCAGCCGCTTTAGACCTGGTGACAGTGAAGCGCACGTTCAACCGCGCGCGCGTGTTTGTGGCCCCGCACGCTCCGCTGCTCAACCACATGGTTTTCATGCCGCCCCGTGCCGTGGTGCTGGAGTTGCGGCCGCAGGGGGCGCAGGGGAGCGAGTATGCAGTGTTCCATCGGCTGGCGGATGCGTGTGGGTTGGATTACCATCTGCTGCTGTGTCAGGGGGAGGTGCCCTCGAGAATGGGCCTGGGGAATATGAGCAGGATTGTGGAGGTGTTGAGAGGGATTGCAGAAAGTTTTGGAGAAAGAGATGTTGTAAGATAGCGGGTGGGATGAATAATTGGAGGCTTGTAACGTAAGAAGCATGAAATAAATTTTCCTACATGTTTTCCTCGGTACAATATGTACCAATCGGTGCTGGCCTCTCCAAATTAAACCCAAGGGGAATGCCATGTTGGTGAAGTAAATGTGCGACATCAAAAGATCGAGAAGGGTGTCAAACGTTGTTGTAGCAGAATATTCTGGTGATGAAGTTTATTATTATAAGCTGTTACGGGTGCAATCAGGGCCTCAGATTCACTTTTAGGGTCGTCAACCCATCAGGGTCCTCCTGTGTGTAAACCAGGCCCTCAGAAGTCAGCGAAAAAAGGCTGATTAGGGGTAAAAAGGCTGTGATTTCAGTGGTGGGAGAATAGTGGGGCTGTTGTGGCAGCTTTTTTTTAAGTGTGTTTGCTGAAATTTCAGGGTTTTTAAATCTGTATGTGCTGAAATATCAGCTTTTTTCCTGTCGTGTACGCTGTCTCATCAGAGTTGTAACGAAGGGGTTGGCTGAAATCCCTGTAATGGAGATTAGCGTAGGTGCCCTGAATTCCGGATGTCTAGGTACACCGGTTCGACCGTCCCTCCGTCAATCACGCCGAAATGGCAAGATTCCTTGCCAACGCATTCGGGAATGGTCATTCACGAACTTTCACTCCACTGCTGTCTTCTCGCGAAGGTGTCTTGGCTCAAGGATACGGTAGAGATTCTTCTTTCCTGTACCAACTGTAGATGAAACCCCCACTGGTCGCAGACCGTCCGCTTCTTTCTCACCCACCTGGATCTTCACTCCCTTCACCTTCGCTTTTCTCGCTCTGAGCATCTCCCCACTCTCGGCGCCTGCATCGCTCGCAGCAGCCCCTCCCTCTCGTCCCTCCACTTGGAGATGCAAGGCACTTGTACTGGACACCTGTAGAGTAGAAGTGGTTCTTCTTCTACTCTACAGGTGTATTTCTCGCCTAGCGTCATTCCCTCATCGCGCAGCCTCACCTTCCCCTCGCTGCGCCACGCTTCCCTTTCCCCCCGTCGCCATGGCGCCGTGCGGGCCGCGTTCGCCAGCGAAGCTGGCGTCGCAGCTGGTCGTCGCTGTACGATGATCCGTGAGCCCGTGAGCTGCACTTCTCGTTCGTGCATATTCCTTGACGGGAATACCCACTCCTTTTCAGCCCGTGAGCTCAGCTCAGCAGCAACGCCATCTTAGTAGGTACGAATCTACAGACATTTGTTTCTCGTTACTCCTCATCGCCCCCCGCATTTGGTTCCCTCGTTTCCGTTTGATCAGGCTGAGACGGAGAGAGTGAGCTGCGAGGGAGATAGTTAGCTGCGTGGGAGAGGGAGTTGCGAGGGATAGAGGGAACCGCGATTCCGCTTTCACTCCCTCGTGCTTCCCGTATTCCTCTCCGTATTTTCTCCACCCGCATCCCTCTGCAGCTCTCCTCTGCAGCCCATCAGTGCGGCAGCAACACACCAGTATGCCCAATAGGTAAGTACGATTTAGGATAGAGATATTTCTTTTCTGCTCCCTTTCCTTTCCCCTCGCAGAGCCAAACTTCCGCGTCGTTCCCTGCAGCCTCCAGTCGTCCCGCATTCCCCTCGTCGCGCAGCCTCGCCTTCCCCTCGCCTCGCCGATTGTCTCTTTCCCCCGTCGCCATGGTGCCTCACGGGCCGCGGTCTGCCCGTGAAGCTAGCATGGCGGCGGTCGTCGCTGGCCGCGGCGCTCTCTTTAGGCTCTAGTGATAGTGAAGAGGGTGATGATGATGAAGAGGATGAGGATATGTTTAATTAGATTTCCTGTAAACGTTTGTTATATCAATGCAGAACTTGTTTGAAATGGTTCAGTCTTCACCAAATAGTGACGCTGATCGTTCAGTTTTTTTTTTAATATACACCCTGAAAAGTCAGTTTTTTTTTAAACAACAACACTGACAGATCAGCCATGAACACACTCCTAAGGTTGACCAGTCAGCCTACGCCAAAACGAATCTGAGGCCCTGGTGTAAACTCTGATGGTCAGTGTTCTGGAAAAAAAAAAACCTGAAAAGTCAGTGTTGCGTTTCTAAAAAGCCTGATGCATCAGTGTACCTTCCGCTAAAACTCTGTCTGTCTCTATTCTATTATGATGTGAAGTTTGAATGCTAAATAAAAAGTCTCGCCTAGCGTAGAATAACAGAGCTGCAGTTGCAGTCATTTAATAGGAGTCATGCATGCATCATCATCAGAATCAGAGACATCATCATGATCATCACTCCCCTGACCTTGAGCCTTAGGTTCTTCTTCCCACTCCTCAAGTGCCTCCTTTCCCCTGCCACTGCCCTGCCCCTCTCTTGCTGGAGCTGCTGCCACATTGCCAAAGGGTCGGCGCTTCTTGTAGCTGCGCCAGATCTGCACCACTTCGTTGTAGTCGGGGGTGTGCTCGAGGAGCGACATGGTGACGAGATCTTCAAGGCGGGCGTCTTTGAGGCTCCCACGCTGCCACGATTTGATGATATGCTGGCGGGAAAACCTGCGCTCACACTCCACAGTGCTCAGCGGCAGCACGGCGACAGCCACCCAGAGACGCACGAGGTTGGGGTAGCTAGTCGTCCAGTCGCTTGTCTTCAGCATCGCCGTTAGGCCGGCATGGAAGCTTCTCTCGGTTTTCGGGGCACCTGCAAGGATGGGGCAAAAGGCACGTAGTTCTTCGATCGCCCGGCGTTTGTCGATCCCTGCCAGACAAAACAAGAAAGAGACTGTCAGTGAGATTGATCGGCTTGGCAGGCAAGTGCATGCAGATTAATGTTCATACTGACGAACAAGGAGACTCATGAACACCAAGGGTTTAGGACGTGCACGTACCAGGGAGGATGTAGTCTGTCTCCCGTGCCCTGAACAGCGTGATGAGTGACATGAGCCACTCGAGACACTGCTTGTGGCGATCCGTTCTCTCAAGCGGGTACTCATCGGGCGTGAACAACCTCACTCCCACAAGGGAGTCCAAGTCTTCAAACCTCTTGCTGAGGTTTCGTACGAGCGTCTCGGCAAATGACGTGCAGAGATCGACGCAGGCGTCGTGGCTTCCCAGAGTCGGGTAGTCCTTGCTTGGGTTCTCATGCAGTTTGAACTTGTGTTTGGTGGGCCGACCGTCAGAGTCCACCCCTTGCACCGTCACCTCGGGTTTGTCACTGTCTGGCCCGTACTTCATGATGAACAGGGACAGGCGCGCGCTCAACCCGCCGCCAAAATCGTCGCCGCAGTCGACGTAGCGGGTCTCGAGGTAAGACACGATTCTCCTGATCTGCGCATGGACAGCTGCGAAGTCAAGCTGTGTGGGGCGGATAGAAACAACACACAGGGACAAAACGTCAGTGGCCCAGGGGCAGATTTCTCACACACAGTAGCCACGCAAACAAGTTACTAGACATCATGATAGGTGCAGCAGAAGCTGAAACATAAAGGCAAGACAACCCGCTCACCTCTCGCTGCTGGAATGCCTTGTTCGAGATGTTCAGCTGCTCGAGCACGTCTGCAAGGAAGTACAAGAGAAAATGAAACCTGTAGCTGGTGGCGAGCCCGTACAGAGTATCGTCCCACTCATACAGCATGACGATGAGCGCGGGGAAGACGGCCACCAGACGCAGAACGGCGTCACCCCTGGAGAGCCAGCGGACTTGATGAATCCCCTGGAGCTCCAGGTTCATAGCCGTGAACACTTCTTGAAGCTCCAGAAATCGTTGGTGCCAGGGGCCGGAACGGCCGAGATGCTCGGCGACCTGACGAATCAGCGCGTCGACCATGTCGAACTCGGGAAGGGCCTCTGCTACATCTTTTGCCGCGAGCGCCTCCCTACAGGCATAACACAACACAGATTGAAACACCTGGTTACTGCATAGAATGTTACAGATAAGCAGGATAAGCAGGATCAACCATAAACGTACCTGTGGGCTATGCAGTGGCTTGATACAAGATGCGGTATGCGGAGGCGAAGTCCAACGACAAGGCCGTTCTTGCTTCCCATCATCACCTTCGCCCCATCGGTGCTTATACCAGAGATCTTGGCAAGCTCGATGCCGAGGGCCTGCAGGTGGGACAGAAACACTGAGAGGAGAGATGCTGCGTCGCACTTCTCCACAGTCAGCAGGGCAAGAAACTCGGTGACCGGGCGGTTCTCACGGATGAAGGTAACGAAAATAATCATGTGTTTTCCCCTACATCTGTCCGTGCTCTCGTCACATGTAAGACCGATGTACGGGCTTGCGAGGATGTGCTGGAGTTGTGTTGTGTGTAACCACGTCGCAATCGACTGTGTTAGTTGCCCAAAGCCGTACCTGTGGCGCATGTGAGTCAATGTTAGAGCGAGCACAAATGTTAAACAAACAAACCAGCAAGTACATGATGATTATGCGGTTACTCACGTTGTATAGTACGTTCCGTATCCTTTCGCGGGGAATCCCGGCACCTTCTGCTCCGCGAGGTAGCGAACCAGGTGCACCCATAATTCTATGGGTGCATCTTGCTTGGTCACGAAGAGGAGGGAGTCGCACAGCTTGATGACGCGCTCCTTCTCGGTGTCACGAGCAAGGTTGTCGCCGTTGATACGCGGCTGCCGGCTTGCTTCAGCAAGAAGCTTCTCCTTGTTCTTGACAGCCTCCTTGTGCTTGGTTGTTGCAGCATGCCGCTTGAACGCTTGCGTCTGTACGTCCGTGGCGCCCTTCCCGCCTTTACCGCATTTTCCAGCATAACCTGCATGCTCGGTACAGATAGAGCACTTGAAAGCAGGGAGACCGTCAGACTGCCGCAAGAGAATAAGCCACGAAAACCTGTCGAGCCACTCGGTCTTATACTTAAACAGGGCCTCGGCGTAAATCGCGTCGCTTCCGGACTGTTTTGAAGGACCAGGAATTGATGGCGACTCCGGCGTTTTGGCGGTCACGGGCGACGACCGTTGGTCGGCTGGCGAAGGCATGGTAGCTCCGTCGTCTGCGCCTTTTGTAAACCATGGCAGCGTTGACTGCATGTATCGGCCGGTTTTCTTGGCCACTGGTTCGGGAGCGGTTTTTTCTGCTGGAGGCGGTGAGCTGTCCTGCTCGATGACTTGCGCAGTCGGGGATGGACACAGCGCCTCCTCATCGATGTGCTCGAACGGGATCTTGTCTGGTGGCTCGAGTTCTGAGGGCTTCTCAGTGACGGTAGCTTGCCCTAAGCCCGAAAACAACAAGTCGAGGCCAGTAACAGCTTCAGAACGGTGTACCGGCGGTTGGCGCTGCACATCCCCGCCGCGTTCGACGTTTGTTTCCGTGCCGTCAAGCTGATCCGCCATGGTAAACAGCGGGGACGGCCTCACATCTAACCTAGTGACGACTGCAGAGCAGATGCAAGGGATTGCACGGGCTCAGCACAGGCCACGGCTGGCTGCCTCTTGGTACACTAGGATGAAAGAGGGAAACCCTGCATCTGATGTAAAGGATGAAGAAGAAGGGGCCCCTGGATGGCGGACACGGTGCATGGGCTGGCCGGCGTTGAAGCATCCACACCACGACGTCAAGAAGGATGGCACGTTGCTTGCCAGCACAACCCAATTCTAACGCGTCGCAGGTGATGGGTACGGGGCAGGAACCTTGGCAGCCCTCCAGCACCACATGGTGGGCACGTTCGGATTGGCCAACACAGTATGCAGCAGCGAAACAGCCCAATGGGGTGAGACGTCGCGCCACCAAAACACCTCGCAACGTGCACCTGAGGCAAAATTTCAAAGATTGGTCCCGCCACGGGGTGCTTACATACAGGGTATCTTCGATTCCCTGTAATTGCGGTCAAATCCACACGGCACAGGTAAGAATCGCTTTCAGCGTTGGTTTCGTTACAACGTAGTAGCATCAGTGTACTTGGGGAAAAAAAAATGAAATTTCAGTGTGGCCGATAAAAAAAGGCTGAAATATCAGTCTCACAAAAAACAGAACACTGACTTTTCAGGGTAGGTAAAATTTTGACTGCCAAAATCAGGAATTTCAGGGTTTTTTTCCTGATATCTGAGGCCCTGGGTGCAATCAATCGAAGTAGTGAGGACTGCACTAAGGTGTCAAACGAGTACAAACTGTGAGCGAATGCATGAGCAAACATTTATACGCGAAACATGCAAACGGTAACGCGGTGCGTGCGAGCTAGCTAGTGCTATGCTGGAAGCGAGGCTCGGGCTAGTCCCGAAGCGTAGGCCGACGCGGCCAGGCCAGCAGTGCGAGGTTTGGTGAAACAGTGCGCGCGAAGTCGGCGAAGCCCCGTTAGCAGTAACGGGCGAACAACGGCTGTTGCTGTACGCGGTGTTGCAGGGCGCGCTAAGGAATATCGAGAAAATTCCTTACACTACCCCTCCCCCCCCCCCCCCCCCCCCCCCCCTCAAGTAGCCCCCACCGCTACGCGAGTGCGTGTATATCGCAAAAACTCTGGCTCCTCAGGTACACTTGCAGGGCAGGGTGGTTTTCGATGTTGGCCAGGGGCACCCAGCTATCTTCAGTTGGCGTGCGGTCCTTCCAGCGAACAAAGAATTCAATCCTCTTGATTCCCGTGGGGTGTCGAATCCGATGGCTCATGATTTTTTCGGGTTCGATGATCGGCTCCGATGCAGGGCGAGTCATGGATGGCGGGCGGTGATGAGGCAGCTGGCTTGTGGTTGGGATATATGGGCGAAGCAGGCTGACGTGGAATGAGGGGCTGACGTACCAGTCCGTCGGCAACATTAGGTGGGCTGTCACTGGGGTAATCATGTGGCTGATTTGGAATGGTCCACAGTAGCGGGGTCGTAATTTCGGTACGACGGGTAGTCTTAAGTTCTGTGTGTCGAGCAGTACGTAGTCTCTTGACTGGTATGTGACTGGGCGGCGGTGGCGGTCAGCGTTGCGCTTAGCGATGACATTGGCCTTTTTAATTGCTTCTGCGGCTCTGGTGCGGGCAGCTTGCAGAATTTCGGCGAATTGCTGTGTGCGTGGTGTTGGGTTGTCCGGACTCGGCGTCATGGGCACTGTAGGGTTTTGCCCGTAGTTCAGGTAGAAGGGGGACTGCTACGTCGTCGCTGACGTGACGTTGTTATACGCGAACTCGATCAGCGGCAACTGCTGCTCCCAAGTGGTCGGGACGTCGCACGTGGCACGAATCAACTGCTCCATCGTCTGATTCGTCCGCTCCGTTTGACCGTCGGTCTCGGGGTGGTACGACGAGCTGAACTGTAGCCTCGTCCCGAACTGTTCCCAGAGGTTTTTCCAGAAATTGCTGGTGAACTTCGTGTCGCGGCCGCTGATTATCGCGGCTGGTATCCCGTGCAATCGAACGACGGCTGCGATGAACAGTCGAGCGGTTTCTTCGGCTGAGATCGATTTCTTGCACGCAGCGAAGTGTGCCATTTTCGTCAACCTGTCAACGACGACCATAACCGCGTCGTTACCCCCAAGGTTCGAAGGTAACCCCGTGACGAAATCCATGGTAACCTGCTGCCAGGCGCGCTCAGGCGGTGGAATCGGCTGCAACTGACCCGCCTTTCTTTTTCGCGAGCTCTTCATCACCTGACACGTAGGACACGAGCCCACGTGGTGCTGTACGTCGGTCAACAGCTGTGGCCAGTAGTAATACCACTGCAGTTGCTGTCGCGTTTTTTCTACCCCGAAGTGTCCTGAGGTAATCCCTTCGTGTGCCTTCTGCAATAACAGTTCCCTCAGTAGTGAGTACGCAGGTACCCAGATGCGGTTGGTGCCTGTTTTTACGTAATAGACTCCTCTGGCCTCTACTAGTTGCTATGAATTTCCGGTCGTGAAAAATGGGTCGGTACTGTATCCGTGGGTGAATAGGCCTGTTAACAGTGGGATGGTCTGGGCGAGTAGGATGGCGTGGAGTTGGGCCGTGGGGCGGGTGAGTGCGTCGGCGATGTTGGTGAGAAGAAACGAGGAATGAAAATGACTAAGGGAAAGTTGGGTACAAACTACAAACCCTAGAAAACTGTACCCCATATGTGCTACCCCACTATAGCCTACAGTAGCTTTGTCATATAAATCTGACACACCCCCATAGGCAAAGTGGGGGAGAACAAGGGGTCACAAGACCAGTCAAGCAAAGCAAAGCAAGCTCAGGGTGGATCACAAAGTCACCACACATTCCGAGCACAGGTTCAAGGCCACAAGGCCAGTTCACATGCAGGATTACATATATATATAAGGCTAGACAAGCAAGAGCAGGTGTATATATATATGCAACCGTACAAACAAGGTCAAGGGGTGAGCAAGTGAGGCAAGGTAGGCACAAGGCCCAGCTGAGTACAGAAACGCTGATGATCACAAGGCGCAAGTGCCTTGGTGAAGATATCAGCAGTGTTGGCCTGAGAGGCCACGTACGCAAGCCGCAGCTGACCACGCTGCTGTAGCTCACGAGCAAGGAAGTAGCGGAGAGCAATGTGCTTCGTTCTGTGCTCCAGTCTCTGCTCTCGACACAAGGCCAGCATGGCCTTGTTGTCTACGTACAGCACTGGAGGAGAACGAGGCGGCTCTCCGAGGTCAGTCAGCAGGTAGGTGAGCCAGCGAAGCTCCTGTGCAGCCATGGCCCCGGCGTAGATCTCAGCCTCACAACTGGAGCCGAGAACAGAAGACGAGCGGGTAGCCCGCCACGAAACAGAGCCGGAACCAAGGCTGAAGGTGTAACCCTGTGACGACCGCTGCGTAGC